TTTTTTGTCGCACGGTGTTATAATAAAAACAGTCCACTTTAATAAAAAAAACACAAAGTACATATTCATTTCCATACTCATATGCACGCAGGTACAAGTATACCACTTTCATTTGTTGATATACATACATGCAAGTGTTCTAGTGCACTCGGTCTGCTTTATGATTTGCCGCTACTTTACTTCAACCCTTCTTTTTGGTTTTACATTTTGCTTCACCATAGAACTCAAGCGCTGTCGCTAATAGCTAAATATTGGTCAAATAAAACCAAATTAGATTATTTCCTATGTTGCACATTAGGTCAAATGATTCATTTGGCTGTGCGAAAGACCAATTTCGTAAACGCAGGTTTTACATTATTTTTTGTTGCCATTCTGTAGGGAATACTCCAAAATAACACAAACTTCACTTTGTTTTTGTAAAATAAAAAACACCGTTAAGCAGCAATCAAACAAAGTTACACTTTCAAAACGTTATTGACACGTTGTTTGCGCAACCTGTTCATTTCTTAAGTTCCAAGTGATTTTTTTTTATAAAGTGGGAATAATTAAAGGAACATTTTAAATGGAAAACCAACATATAAGTGAGTACTAGGGCATTCAATCCCGAAGCATTTTAAAAATCTCGGGATTTCGGTATGTAAAAATTCTAATCCCGGGATCCCGAGATTTTTCGGGATTTCGGCTTCATAATAACTTTTTGCATTTTACAGTAGGTTCGCCTTTTTCAAACCACACAGATTCATTGTCAACACATTTGGTCTTAGGGGCGCATAATGCTCCTTAGTAAAAGAGTATGTAATTTGATGTTTAAATAATTTTCATTACTAGTCAAAAACATTTACTCATATTTACAAAAATCCTTTTCCAAAAAAGGCCAACAAAGTAAAATGAAGAACAATTCTGCCACACTGTAAAAGCTTGTGTTTTGAATTGCTACCAGATTTTTCGTTATTAAACAGTTTTTGCACAAAATATTTGAACAAGTACAGTTATTCAGGCAGTTCCTGAAATTCACTTCCAAGTGCAAATGACTCAAGTTCACTTTGAATCCAAATTTTAGTGTTATGTTTCAAGTCAAATAAATTCTTTTTTTCGTTTTCAACATCTCTTTCATTCTGTAAATGAATCATTAAAATCTCGGGATCCCGGAGCTGTAATCCCGGGATTTCGGGACATGGAAAAGTGTCCGGGATCTCGGAATCCCGGGATTCTGGATCCCGGGATTGAATGCCCTAGTGAGTACCTATACCCCAATTCAAAAAAGTGACTTTTTATTATTTGTATGCAAAAAAATAGACTTCTTTGCATAACCTCAACAATTTTCTGATTTATTTCCATTTATGATTTTAGATAAGCTTTTACAACTTTGTTAACTTTCGGCAAACAAAAGGGAAAAGGAATTGGATAAATTGAGATGTAATGAGTTGATTTTATTTTACTTAAGCCGCCGTTTTAAAGAAAAACTGTTTTTTCATGCTATACAAAAGGCGAGTTATTTGAAGTTTGGCTGCTAGAAAGTTAGATGAAAGAAAAGCTTCCTTCGGTTGTCAACCATGTCGCAAAAAAAACTTAGTGCTGTTGATATTTGCAAAGGTTCCATGAAACTCTTAGAAGAGAAAACTAATTATTTATCAAAGAAAGACTAAAATTACGGAAAATAATTTGGAAAGGTTGGTGAAATATTTAGATCTAAAAACATCGCGGTTCTTGCTGATAAAGTTCTTTTCGAAATCAAAAAGCCAACTGTGTCGACCAGCAGCCGGGTACTAACTTTCGTTATCGCTAAAATGTGCTAAAAAGCGGATGCTAACATTTTATACGCTTTTCGCTAAAAATAGCTTAGCCTAAATTTTAGTATCCGCAAGTGGCGCTATGCAACAAAAGCAGCTTGCATTGTTGGTGGTAAATAGCCCGATTTAATGGTGATAAATAGCAGCCTCAATTTCGATTACATTTCATCTCCTGTAGCGTAACCATGACTACATATCTTTGAGAGAATCTACGGATTGCAATTTCAAATTTTTTTGCCCAAGGTGAACAGAGCTTTGAACATTCTTTTCGCAAATTAGTTTCAAAAACGTTCCTATTCTTTTCAGGAGGTTATCAATGGTTTTTGGTAAATGTGTCACAAAGCAGCATTAGCATTCTGAATATAATTAATATCGGTGAAAAATTGGGGAATACTGAAACCTTAAGTGAAAATGAAGTTGTTTATGAAGACTAACTACTTTATGAATCTCTCCTCAAGGCATATATACGAGACACATAGTAATTTTTTTTTTTCAATTTAGGAATTTCGATAATGCCATAATTAAACGCTAGATGAAACCATTTATGTACATATGAACATACTTCTTTTATTATGCAGCTCATTTTAAGGGGGAGCGGGTTGAGTATGGTAAGAAGATAACTTGTGTCAAAACCAAGCTAATTGGACAATGTTTTCTGGTACTACTTAAACACATATGTATACTCATCATTTGAACATAAAAAACATTGTGCGGAAAAGTCTGTCTTACGAAAGCTAAGTCATGTTTTCACATGCTACATTGAAAGAGTGCAATATTTTAGCTGCTATTAATTTCACACAGAAAAAGTAATCAGTTGACCTAATGTGTGCTGGCTTAATTTTGAAAGTTGTTTGACTGCAAATAAAAAATAAATAAAGTATTTAAATTCCGTCGTTTTGTTAACGCAGTGTCCGCCAAAAAGAGAAGTCTTAAAATGAGAATGTATTAGTTATGAAATAAAAAATGAGAATGTGTTGGTGGTAATGCACGGAAATGCGTCATCAACCTGCCTCGCCTATTGTTTGCATGCAACTAAACAAAATTTGTTGCTCTGCTACTCTTTCTGTTGACGTTCGGATTGTGTACGTGTAAGAAGCCGATTGTGTACATGTGAAAGGCCGAATATAGTTCGTATAGTATAGCAGCTAAGTTCAGGAGATAAAATGAAAATAAATTGAGCGGCATTATTTGCGCGTCACTTAAATCGAGCAGTCGAGTTTAATTTTAATAGATTTTTGCCGGAGGTTTGCTGACTACCAGCGTTGGCCGACGACAGAGTCGGCGGAGCACCAGGGCTCCGCGGGATACACTGCAGCAGAGCTGCAGCGCTTAAATTGTGTTGGAGTCAACATCATAAGCCACAGGCCGGGCGTTGGCCGGCAATAGAAACGGCGGAGCGCTAGGGCTCCTCGGTTCGCAGTGTGAGTGCGTGGAATGCGGCAACACAGGTACGCCCGTGTAAAAATCATGATGTGGAAAATTCCACATCACATGGCGACCGTGGCCCAGCCTGGCGCAATGGCGGCCCGCGGGCATAAAAAAAAGGGCATGAATTTAAATTGATTTCTACAAAAAACAGTATCGGTGGTGGTTACAGCTACTAAAGCACAAATTATTGCAAAAAAAAACATTCAAAAAAAAAACAAAAAAAAACTGTAGAAATTTCACAAAAAACGTATACATACATATGTATGAAAAAAATACAAATGAAAATGAACTTATAAAAAAAAAAATAAATAAAAATAAAAATTAAAAAATAATGCGGTGGCGGTTATAAACAATTAATTAAAAATTATTGCAAAAAAAACTAAAAAAAGTACAAAAAAAATATAAAAACATTTCAAAAATCAAAAAAAGCGGTGGTACCAAATTTTCAAATAAACCAAGAAAAAAACAAATTTAAAAAAAAAAAGAAAACGAAACTTTTGCACAAAAAGGTAATGGCTGGCAGTGAAGGCGGAAAACAAAAAAAAAAAAAAAATTAAAAAAAAAATAAAAAAAAAAAAAAAAGCGGTGGTACCAAATTAAAAAAAAAAAAACATTTTGAAATCTACAACAAAAAGAAAAATAGCGTTGGTTTGTGGTGAAACTTTCTAAAAATCGAACAAATGCATGAAATTGCGGAAATGAGTACAATACTAAACAACCGCAATAAAGCTAAAATTTGTTGAAGGTGCTGTACCAAAGTTACGACAAGCCGCAACTGCACCGTAATAACCAGTATATGTACATACATATGTACATATAACTGTACATAAAACCACGCCACTTTGACACTGAACAATAGCTCCCGTTACCTAACGGCGTACAAAACCACGCCACTTGCAAAGCCACTTAACTGTAACTCAGTTACAGCGGCATATAACACCACGCCACCTGACGCCAAATACAAATCCATGTATCGCTAAGCCAAGGCGCGATATCAGCGTAGCGACAACAACATCTGAGGTTCTACAGAGGGGACAACAACAACATCGTCAGCAACGGCAGCGAGTAGCAGTTTGCAGCTTTGGGGTATGAGGTACTATTCATATGTGAAACACCACCATAATTTTTTTTTAAAATTCAAACATTCTACATCACATGGCAATAAATTTAAAAACTTTACATTATATTCCTTTAAAACTTTGCTAAACATTTTACTAAAATATTTTCTGAAACTTTAGATTGTATTCTCAAACAAAATTTTAAAGACCTACTGTACTTTTCTTGTATTACATACATACATTCATATTACTTGCATTTATATTACATACATAAATTTTAAAGACCTACTGTACTTTTCTTGTACTACATATATACATTACTTGCATTTATATTATATACATAAATTTCTAAGATTATATTCAACACTTTAAAAGTTTACTGATTGAATAATACACACATTTACATATGTATATGTTACTGTTTTTTCTTATGGAATTTCAGCTTCAGTGGTACAGTGATGTACAAATATTAATATTTTTTTAAACGTAACTTCAACAATTTAAAGTTTTCACTAAAATTTTTCTTCAATTCTTTGCAACATTAGGCAAGAGTCAGATTTTTTTTTCCAAATATTCGATAAAAATTTCATACGAATTTTCGCCTGTGCATTGCCGTGCTTTTATACTACAACTTTTAAAATTTCGTTTGAAATATGGTAAAATATTTCAACGATTATAATTATCAATAAACGTTTTCCTCAGTTTTCTATGCCGTGGTAGCCAAACTTCGAATATTACAACTTTATTCAAATAACTTTTTTTTTTTTTCAATAATACAATAGTTCGATAGTTTTTATAGATCTTTTGCTTTGCGTGTGTGCCAGATGTCAGATGTCGAACTTGTATTCAAAGATTTACAAACAAAATTTTCAAAAGTTACCAAGCGTGTTCTTCAAAGCCGTCCCCTTTCAACAAATCGGGAAAAAGTTGACGAATATATGAAATCTCTAATCGAAACTTACAACGATATTTTAATTCAAGTAAAAAATTCGGAACAACAAGGAAACAAGCCAGCTTCTATAATTAAAAGTTTACCGCGGTGCAGAGAAAAACTACTTCAGTATTTTCAAAAAATTGGGTGTAAAGTTTTAGTACCCGAAGATTTTTCAGCTTTTATAAAAGAAGATATTTTAAATCCTGAAGTAGATTCCGACGACGACTTTGCTGACGCTTGTTCAGCTGGCACACCAGAAGTTTCCACCGTTAAAAAAAGTTGTTCTTTGCCTTCATTTTAAAATTTTTTACAAATTGAAGAAACGCCTTGCGTAACGATTAGTTCACCGAATATAAATTTTACTGAATATACAAACGAAATAAAGATGGCAACACCTGAGCAAAAGAAATCATTTATTGGCCTATGTGCGTCTATAATCCGAGAAAACTATAGTGGTGACCCCCTATCGCTCGACTCATTCATTGACAAAATAAACTTAATTGAAGAATTATCGGATGAAAGCTTAACTACAACATTTATAGCATTTTTAAAGTCTAAACTCGAAGGCAAAGCGCGTGAGGTTTTACCCAGTCAAATAATTTCAGTGGATCAAATAAAGGTTGCGCTACGCAGCAGAATCAAACCAGATAATTCCAAAGTTGTCTCTGGCAAAATCGTGTCATTACATATTACTAATAACAACTATGCCGATTTTGCGAAGCGAGTAGAGGAATTATCTGACGCATTAGAGCGATCTTTAATTATTGAGGGTATGACTCAAGCAAAAGCCCATGAGTTAGCGGTAGAGCAGACAGTAAATGTTTGCAGGCTGAATAGTCGTTCAGAACTAGTAAAATCTATTTTAGCATCAACCACTTTTACGGATTCGAAAGATGTAGTCGCAAAAATGATTGTAGAACACAATAATGAAGTCAAAGAGCGGCAGGTGTTATCTTTTAGGTCACGGGCAAATAGACCAAATAGTTTTCGAGGAGGTTTTAGAGGGCATAACAACTATGGCTATCACAACAATAGTTTCAGATTTAATAACGGCAATACAAATAGGCACAATAATGGCAATAACACAAGGCACAATAACAATCAAAATAATTACAATAGAAGTAACAATTTTAACAATAGACAAAATAATTACAGAAATAGCACAAGCAATCGTTCGGCAAGCAACAGAAACAACTCTTCTCGTTCAAATTCTAGAAACACTTCTAATGTTCGATTTTTAAACGCCGATGCCCCTCAGGAGCGAACACAGGGGGAGCAGGAGCTAAGCAATTAAACGTAGTTACCCCTGAAAAATCAATTTACTGCTTGAATCTTAATTATTCAGATTTTATTGAATTAAATTGTACCGATTCTTACAAATTATGTTCGTTTCTCGTAGATTCACAGGCAGACATCTTTTTAATCAAGATTTCCAGTTTAGCAAGAAATTCAGCAATTAACAGTAGCAATACCATAAACATCACTGGTGTAACAACTGAAACGGTTACAACATTGGGAACTGTAAGTACAAACTTGGTTGTATCAGGTTTTTTTATTCCGCATACTCTTCACGTTGTAGATGACAGTTTTAATATACCTTCTGACGGCATACTAGACAAGGACTTTTTAAAGACGAACAGATGTATTATTAACTACGCAAATGACAGTATAACTATCGGCATCGGGACAGAAAGCACTAAAATAGCAATTTTACACGGTTCAAATACCGACACTTTAGTCATTCCTCCAAGATGTGAAGTTTTTCGTTTATTTAAATTGACTAATTCCAAAAACCCTGTTTTCGTAGACTCTCACGAGCTTTGCTCTGGTGTTTTTACATCAAAATGTGTCGTTGACACAACAAATCCAATTTTAAAAGTAATAAATACTACGGACGAGGTAAAATACGTTCGTAATTATTACATCAAAGCTGAGGATATAAGTAACTATAATGTCTACAAAATAAACGAAACTTCCCAAGAGACAAAACGTTTAGAGGAACTAAAGTCAATTTTACAAAAACAAATGCCAAAATACGCTAAAAACAAATTGCTTGAATTATGTTTACAATACGCCGATGTATTCGCCTTAAAAACAGACCGTATGACACTCAACAACTTTTACGAACAGAAACTTCGACTGAATGACAAGACTCCCTTTTATATCAAAAACTATCGATTGCCGTACTCAAAACGCGAAGAAATAAATAGACAAGTCGATACCTTACTGCGAAATGACTTAATCGAACCAAGCTCCTCTAATTATAACAGTCCATTAATTTTAGTACCAAAAAAAGATCCATCCGGCCAAAAATCGTACCGCATGTGCGTTGACTTTAGGGCGGTTAATAAAAAGCTTATCGCTGACAAATTTCCACTAGCACGTGTGGACGACATATTAGACAACCTTGGTCGAGCAAAATACTTTTCGACTTTAGATCTGTTTTCTGGTTTCCATCAAATTCCATTGCATAAAAACTCGCGAGATATAACATCTTTCAGCACTGACAAGGGAGCTTTTCGCTGGAAAGTTTTACCATTCGGTTTAAATGTAGCACCGAATTCTTTTTCTCGAATGATGTCAATAGCCTTTTCAGGCATTTCTCCAAATCAAGATTTTTTATACGTTGATGACGTCATAGTTATAGGTTGCAGTGAGACTCATCATCTAAAAAAACCTGGCTAAAGTGTTCGAAACATGTAGAAAATTTAATCTCAAGCTAAACCCAACCAAAGGCAATTTTCTTCGTTCTGAGGTAACATTTTTAGGGCACAAGTGCTCAGAAAAGGGACTGCTGCCAGACGATTCAAAAATTAACGCAATAAAAAAGTATACAAAACCTTCAGATAAAGACGCTGTTCGTCGATTCGTTGCGTTTGCAAATTATTATAGACGCTTCATACCTAACTTTGCGTCGCTGGCAGCACCTTTAAATAGACTGAGTCGAAAAAATTTCGAATTCTTATGGGACAACGCTTGTGAAACACGATTGAGAGAATACAAAGGTTGCGCCGATCTCGGACCGCTATTCCTCTCTTAACGAATTTGACAGAATCGTTGTTTGCATGACGTCACACTTGTGCAACTTGTTTACGTTTTCCTTGCAACATTTTTTCTTCTTCTTCCATTCTTGCTCACGTTTTGGCATTTCTCTCTCGCAATTGCACCAGTGTGATGTCACACAAAAGTTATTCTCAAAAATCCTCTCTGATCGGCGCAATCTTGTATTCTATCATTCTTGCTTGTGAAACTGCATTTCAACACTTAAAATCAGCCCTAATGTCTCCTAAACTTTTGCAATATCCTGATTTTACTAAAGAATTTTTAATAACTGTGGATGCTTCTAAAAACGGGTGCGGTGCTATATTAAGCCAAAATCATAATGGCAACGACTTACCAATATGTTTCGCTTCTAAATCTTTTAACAAAGCAGAACAAAATAAACCAATCATAGAACTTGAACTTTTAGCTATATATTTCGCGATTAAGCAGTTTCGACCCTATGTTTACGGCACTCACTTTAAGGTGAAGTCTGACCATCGACCCTTAGTTTATCTTTTTAACATGAAGGACCCATCTTCAAAACTTGCTAGAATACGCCTAGAACTGTCAGAATACGACTTCACTATTGAGTACATAAAAGGCAAAGCAAACGTTGGAGCAGACGCACTTTCACGCATTACCATTAATGAACTAAAAGACTCTACAAAACATGTTTTAGCTATGAAAACGCGATCAATGACAAAAACAATAGATTTACAAAACGAAAACAACTACACGGACAACCCTACAGTACAAGTTTACAATAAATTTCCATATAATTTTTCTAAAAATATACCGCGAATAGTAACGCATTTTCGCTACGATAAAGATAACAAAATTTCAAATATTCAAATATGTGCACATTTAAAACACAAAAAACAAGTATTACTTAATTTTGCGAATGTTAACGAAACAACTTGTTTAGGCGAGTTACTTTTGAGGCTTGATGCTGAAGCCGGCAATCGCAATATTAAGCAAGTAGAATGGCCAAAAGATGATATATTTTTCAATAATTTCTCTATTTCAAATTTAAAAACCAGCGGTAACAATATTTTAAAATTTTTACAAATTATCTTAACAGAACCGGTAGAAACAGTAACTGACGACGATAAAAAGTTAAAATTAATGACCATTTACCATAATGACCCTATAACAGGCGGACACTGCGGAATTAAAAAACTTTATGCAAAATTACGTACAAAATATCACTGGAAAAATATGACCCGTGATGTATCCAAGTTTGTTAAAAATTGTCCAAAATGTTTATTAAACAAGGTTAAACCTAAAAACAAGGAAAATCTTGTTTTAACGCCAAGACCTTGCAAACCATTTGATATTATTGTAATCGACACATTAGGACCCCTACCAGAGTCAAATAATGGTAATAGGTTCGCAATTACCATTATATGCGATTTAACAAAGTATTTAGTAACAGTAGCTGTTCCAGATAAAAGCGCTAAAACGATTGCATCTGCCATTTTCGAAAGTTTTGTCTTAACTTACGGTGTAATGAATTCCATTAAATCCGACTTAGGCACCGAATTTAAAAATGAAATTTTCACTGAATTAACCAAACTTTTAAAGGCTAAACATGATTTTTCAACCGCACACCATCATGAAACTGTGGGTACTATCGAACGTAACCACCGAGTTTTTAATGAATATTTACGAGCATATTTAAATGAAACATTTTCCGATTGGGATGTTTATTTAAAATATTTTAAATTTTTACACAACACAACAACTAATACAGTTTTCGATAATAAATTTTCGCCTTTTGAATTAATATTTGGGAAAAAGGCAACAGTGCCTCAAGATTTGAAAAAAGATAAAATTGACCCGATTTATAATGTAGAAAATTACGCGAAAGAAGTTAAATATCGCATGCAAAAGTCGCACAAAATCGTTAAAGAATTAATTAATAAACACAAAATTCGGAACAAACTAATATATGATAAAACGGCGCGTCCGTTATCAATTAGCGTTAATGACAGGGTTCTTGTTCAAAAAGAACCACGCAATAAGCATGAAAACATATACCAAGGGCCATACGTTATAACAAAAATTGACGGTGTAAACGTCACAATTTTTGATGAAGCGAAAAACAAAGAAAAAACAGTACACAAAAATAGAATTCATAAAATAAAATAAAATAAAATTTTCTTCTATATGTATATACGTATGTATAATTACTTTCACTTTATTACCTTATAAACAAAAACAAAAATGTACAAAACAAAAAAATAATAATCTGAAATGTACAAATTTTCAATATGAAATCTAGCTCAAAAGAAAAAACAAACAAACAAAACTAACTATTATAAGTGTTTACAATATATTTTTCCATAAAATTATAATATAAGATTTTTTTCCAAAATACTAAATGAATTTATTAAACCGAAAGCATTTTTCATACATTGTTAAAAATATAACTCAGAAAATCTAAATACAAATATTAAAACAAAAAAAATTTAAATTCCATTTTTCTTAAGCAATTAATATGTATTTATGTAAAATTCAATCAAATAGCCTCATAAGTTATTTAC